CTGCACATAGCTTGATCTATGAATCATTTGCTTTTTTATGTGAACGTTAATGCAATGATCATCATCAACATTACGAGGTAATAAATTAACCATATTATTAATGTCAACAGGCGCATTTATAATTTGTCCAAACATTCCAAATTGTCCATTTGCATGTCGCAATCGTCTAATTTGCATGAAACACAACCTAGGTGAAATTAACCTTTCAGATTCAGTATCTAGTTTAGGTAGAGAATTTGGTATAGGTGGAAATACAAACCGGTTAAATTTACACAAAGTGGGAATTTTACCCGAATTTAATATCTTTCGACAAGTTCGACATCCAACCTGATTATTTGAATCAATATTCAGAAAACATTATTAAGAATTTGTTTTTGAGCATCATTTGATATTTCTAAGTCACTTTGAAGTCAAAGTCGATCACACACAAAACATACATAGCCAAAGCTATCATTTCTTACGCAGCGCAGATTTTTCCTTAGTTTCATTATTTATTTGCGATCATTTGCACTACAATTATTTATGGGGGACGGGATAAAATATTCTTCCAATCCTGACATTTTTATTAACTCACGAATTATACTGCTAACCTATGTCGCGCCTAAAGAAGTTTTACTTCGAAAAGTAAATATAATACACTTTATAAAGTGGCATGCAAAAATTATACTATCATTTACCTTGCTAAAGTTCGGGCACCTTCAACATGAACATCATCAAATTTAAAATTCTTAGTCTCCCAATCTCTTCCTACTAAATTGATGACGACATTAGAATACCTGATGGCTTTATCAATTGATTCTCGATCTCTTAAATTGTATGGTGTGAATAATACTTGTCCCAAATCACCCACACATTTCAAGCGTTGTGCTGGGTAGAAATCTCCACGGTAGGGAATAATTAACTAAGGAAAAATAAGTAAAAAAACAATTGTGTATTCTATTTAATGTAGAATGAAAGAAATATGATGAAAGTATTTTGAGGTTAGGTTATTAATATATAAATTTAAGACATTTTTTTACATTTCTTTAGATAACTTTTAATTTTCTTCCTAAACATTCTAATTTGGTGGCATTTGTAAAAACTAGATAAAATCTACTAAAATCTAGTAAACACTGTTATATATACTTGCATATTAAAATTTTGAAAAATTCGCAGTTGAAATGCGAACTTTGGTATTTTGATAATTTGCAATATATTGATTTAGAACATTTTTTTACTTTTCCTCATATAACTTTTAATTTTCTTCCCGGACATTTTAATTTGGTGGCATTAGTAAAAACTAGATGTGATTTACTAAAATCTAGTAAAAACAATTCACACTTGAATATTGAAATTTTGAGTAATTTGCAGTTAAAATGTGGCTTTCAGTATTTTGATAATTTGCCATATATTGATTTGGGACATTTTTTACTTTTCTTCAAATAACTTTTAATTTTCTTCCCAGACATTTTAATTCGGTGGGATTACTTAATATTAGATAAAATTTACTAAAATCTAGTAAACACTGTTATATACACTTTTATATTGAAATTTTGAATAATTCGCAGTTGAAATGCAGACTTTGGTATTTTGATAATTTGCACAATATTGATTTAGGACATTTTTTTACTTTTCTTGGAATAACTTTTAATTTTCGTTTCGGACAATAAAATTTGGTGACATTAGCAAAAACTAGATGGGATATACTAAAATCTAGTAAAAACTGATTTATACACTTGGATATTGAAATTTTAAATATTATAAGCATTAAAAAGCCACTTGTATATCTCTACTATATTGTACAACTACATTGTGAATTTTGTGTTGTCCAAATAAACTTTTCTTCAAAATAAAATCCCTTTGCATTTCATTTCTAATCGAAAAGTATAATTTAAATTTAAAACCGTATGTTTCATGTTTAAAAAAAAAGACCTCTTACAATCTAACACCTTTTAAATCAATCCTTTATACCTGGGTGCCAATTTTCCCCAGTTTATTGCACACATATCGTCCCGTAAAGCCTGTAGCCCCAAAAACTGTAGCAACGACACCATTAAAACTGGACCGACCACCAGTACCTCTTTTCATAGCAGCCAGATTGGTTTTCTGGGGCTTTGTACTGTAAGAGGCCTGCTGCAGACAAGCAATTCCGATCCATCCTGTCTGATTTCCTAAAAAATTAAAAAAGGACTTAGAAGATAATTTGTTATATGTTACTCATTACATAACCTATATGGTTAAGTAGTCAGAGTACATATGGATTTTAAATATGAGACTTAAATAATTTTAATTATAGATTTATGTTATTTATTACTTACTGGAGGCTTTTACAGTGTGCTGAATTACAAACAGCGACATTTCGAGGCTGTTTAATCCTTTTTATGTCATTCGAAAATAATTGTAGGAATTTATAAATGTCAAAAGTGTTGTTGCCACAGTTCGCCGATGTGTGGCACTAGTGGTTCTATTTTAAACGGTTTTGTATTTTAAATTTATTAATTTGAATATGAACTTGCTAATTTTATGTTTTTCGACGTTTGAAATCATTCTGAATCGTTTGTTTGGTTTTATATTCAATTTAACTATATCTAACAATTTTTTAAATAAGACATTAAAGTCTTGATTAACAAAAATAAATTATAACAATTCTGAATGGTTTGTGGGTTTGAACTAGAAATAGAAAACATAACACAAAAACAAATGTCAACTCGTGGTGTATGGCATCGTGCCTTAAGGCAAATTGCTGGAACTTCCCGTACCGTAATAAAATATTCGATAAATTTTAAACGTTTTCAAATATATTATTACAAATACTGTAACTTTTATTATTTATTATTTTTGCTATCTTGTTATATCTGAGCAAATCAAATGTAAATCATAAATCATAAATCAATTTATATCCAGAACATTAACAATCGTCATTTCATTTTGAATCCAATTTAAAAAAAAAAATAGTTGCCTAATTTACACAAAATTGAAAAAGTGCTCTCGCATAGTCACAGTCTAAACGCATTTGCAAGTAATTTTGTGCGACATTTTCACTTATTCTGTGCTTAGCTTGGCGGCATTTTCACATTTTTCAATAGTTTTTTTCACAAAATTGAAAAAGTGCTCCAGTACATAAACAGTCTAAACGCACTCGGGTAAACATTTGTACCAGAGTGGCGCTTAGACTGTGCTTAGCATGGGTGATTTTTTGAATTTTTAATCCAAAATTACAAAAATATTTTTTGAAAAAAAAAATTAGAAACAATTTTTTTTCCAAAAGCAATTATTTTGTTGAAACAAGCAGAAAGTTCTTTGAATCATTTAAATCGGACGCTTAGTTCACTCAAAAACTGCAATTTTTTGCACATTTAGCTCTGTATCTCCGAAACCGCCGGGCCTACCTTTGCCAAAAACTAATAACCCCGTCATTACGAACTGAATGTTTTTTGGATCATACAAATCGGATGCTCCGTTCTCTCAAAAACTCGATTTCTATTTTCTGCACTCTTTGCTCCATATCTCCGTAACGGCTGGACCTGCCTTTGCCAAAAACTAATCAGCAAATCTTCCTATTAATAGGAATCGAATGTTTTTAAACCATTCGATTTAAAACCACACGCACACACGCACACTCACACACACACTCACATCCATTTTTTCCGAGGTATGCCAGTAAAATGTTCAAAAACCTTCAAAACGTCGAGTAATGCAAAAATTTTCATTTTCGATTTTCGGCCCATTACTATAACTACCAGACGGGAAGTTAAAAACCGCACAAATGTCAAAAAACCGATGTTAGATAACAGGGTGTTTTTGACCCAGCTTCATAACATACGAGTGACATTGCAGTTTGTGTGAAAAACGCCTGAATGCACAACAAATGAATTGAATGTTGACAGTATTTAGTATGATTCAGTAGCATAATGTATGCAAGTTAAAGCATAACATGGCCTTGCCATAACATTTTTTTGTTATGCAGCTGAATCAGTCCTTCAATGTGACAACAATATTTCAGTCTCTAAAAACTTGAAAAATATTTATTTGACTGTAGTAAATACAAAATAAATACAATATTAAATTTATAATCAATTAAACATTTATATTTACATTATTAAACAATTACATACAATTCATTGATTATGAGTAACAAACAGAAATATATAATACATAAATTGCAATTATTATTATATATCAGTATAAATTGAGTACTTGAAAAGAATTATAAGCTTAAACAATTACAAGACTAATTCAAAAGTTTTGTTGACTGTTTCCTTCTACAGCATGTACTCTTTTATGTTGTGTTAATGAATATTTTCTTGAGAATGCTCTATTGCATATTTCACATTCATAAGGTCGTTCTCCGGTATGGGTTATTTTGTGTTGTTTTAGGTTTGGCTTTGTTTTGAATTTTTTATTGCATATTTCACAATTAAAAGCGCGTTCTTCAGTATGCACCAAAAAATGTGTTTTCAAATTACCTGCGTTTGAGAATGTTTTATTGCATATTTTACAATTATAAGCGCGTTCTCCAGTATGTACTACTGAATGATCTCTCAAATGACTTATCTGTAAAAATCTTTGATTGCATATTTTGCACTCATAAGGACGTTCTCCAGTATGGATCCTTTCATGTTGGTTTAAGCTAAATTTTGTTGTTAATGTTTTATTACAAAATTCACATCTAAAGCTTTTCAAATTATTGGTTGTCTTGCACTTTCTTGAAACTTTTTTAATTGATTTGTTCGTGCTATCCACTAAAGTACTTGAATTACTGATCTCTTCGTTACATATGTAAGGTTTTTCATCTAAAACTCTTTCGTTTGTATTATCCAAAGCATCTTGGTCATCAATCGTCTCTTGTTTTATTTCCTCGTCAATTGTAACTTCAGATTTTAGAAATTGCTGTAGACATATATCATCATTATACGTACACAAATCTGACGTATTTTCATAATCATCAAATTCCTGTTTCACTTGAGGATAATCATCAATCGGTTCGGTTTTAATTGTTTTGTTTGAATTTGTTTCTTCAGACATTTTAGAAGTTTGTAGGTTATAATAAACTAACTGTCGATGAGTTCTTGAAAGTAAAGAATTTATATTTAAAATATATGTGTTATGAACGTATAATAAATTTACTAATTCGTTCATACTGACCTTTTTACAATTATTTTATTTTCCAATTTAACTTTAACAATTCCATAAACCACTTTGACATTTCTACTCCATTTTCCTTTTATAAACGAAACGAGTGATCTGATTGGACAGCATTCAATTACATTTTGGCGGCAAAATATAAAATCAGAAATTATATAGTTTCAAGAAAAAAAAAGCTGTTTTTATAACATCTAACGTCGGAATTTCTATATTTTTGATAGAATAATTTGCAATTTATCATCTAAATTTGATTTTCAACTAAAACTAATCAGTATCATTCCCAACTAATATCTTTCGAACAGTTTTTGATTTTTTTAAATCGATTTGGTAGTATGAGCTTAAATTGTGGACGAAAAGTTTAACACTTTTCACCAAATTCCAAAGAAACGGCTTGGCAGATCGTCACACAAAACTGACAAACGATAGTCCTCATCGAGATACATAGAATGGCTTTTAAATTTTTGAAATCGGTCCAGCCGTTTTTGAAAAAACGTCGATTTACAGTAAAAAATCTGTTCACACATACTTTTTTCAAATTTGGTCTCATTCAATTCAGAATGTCTTGAAACGTGGAGAAAACATAAAATTAGCGAATCGGATTTTTTTATGAAAACATAAACTTCTCCTTCGGGAACCTAATTATGTAAACTAATATCATAGTACTCAATTTATATTATTATATTTACCATCATTATTATATTCCCATGCAAAATACTTTCTCTACTAAACTGAACTCTCAACATGCTATCACCATATTTTTGTATTACATAAAATAAATCTATGAATATGTACTTTAATAACAATTTCCTGTGTTATTAACTATCGCAAATTGACATGTATATCGATATATTACGTATATGTTGCAAATTACAATGAATTATCTCGATTTTTATATTTTATTAATAAATTGCACGCTATTTTAAAATATTTTCGCATTCGGTATCAAAAATTGTCTTTAAATTTCAAGGACTTCAAAACAACGTCTAAAATTAGTGTTGTATGACATCGTGTCTTCAGGCAAATTGCTGGAACTTCCCATACAGTAATGCAATATTCGAGGAATTTTAGATGTTCTCAAATAGATTATTATAAATACTGTAACTTATATATGTTTACAGAAAAGTAAATAAACAAAACTTAATCAATCAGATTCAAAATGAACGACATCTAATATTTATAAGAATTAAAATTATTTATCTGAAGTATATTAGTTAGCTTTAGAACTTTAGCTAGAATCAGAATTAAAACCCGAATTATTTTTTGCAATATTCAAAAACTTTTGCAAATTGAAAAAAAATTATTATCTCAATCGTTTCGTCAGCACAAGCAGAAAGTTTTTTAAATCATTCAAATCGGATGCTTAGTTCTCTTAAAAATTGCCATTTTTGTACATTTTGTTCCGTATTTCCGAAACGACTGAACCTGTCTTTGCCAAAAACTAATCACCACTTCTCCCAATCATTACCAATTGAATGTTTTTTAGATCATTCAAGTCGGATGCTCCGTTCTCTCAAAAACTCGATTTGTATTTTCTGCACTCTTTGCTCTATATCTCCGTAACGGCTGGACCTGCCTTTGCCAAAAACTAATCAGCACATCCCCAATCAATAGGAAACGAACGTTTTTTGAACCATTCAAATAGGTTGATCCGAGCGCCCGAAAACGTGGACACACACACATCCATTTAGTTTCTGAGGTATGCCAGTAAAATGTTCAGAAACCTTCAAAACGTCGAGAAATGCAAAAATTTTCATTTTCGATTTTCGGCCCATTACCATAACTACCCTACGGGAAGTTAAAAATGACTTTAGAAAAACAAAATTTTCTGATTATTATCAAAGATTTCATAAATTAACATATAATGTAATATGAATTTCTTTTCTAATATTGTCCTGGTAGTATTATCTCTGGGAAGTGGGTTTGGATGATCCTCAAGGCGGCTTTTGTAATTTTCTGAATGTGTTTGTGTTTTTGATAGTTTACTCTATATATCAATAAGAGCTGATGCCCATAATTATTAGATCGAAACAAGTTAATTTTAACTTATATAATCCAATTCCAATAAATCATTTTAAATTTACTCAGTTTACAATTTACTCTATATAATCACAATATTTAAATTCAATATATCAAAATTGAAAAGGCTTACTACTGGGTAATCTTTTAGATCTAAGGTTTAATATTTCATATATCATCGAAATTACTGAATGTCTTACTTTTTGTAAAGACAGATTGTAATTCAATAAAGAGAAAAAAAAATTACAAATCAAGATTTTTATACTTTTGCTTGATACATAAAAAATTTCAATATATATTTCATATGCGCTATTTTATATAATTTTTAAAAATATAAGATAGAGTTCTCTCAAAAACTCTATTTCTATTTTCTGCACTCTTTGCTCCATATCTCCGTAACGGCTGGACCTGCCTTTGCCAAAAACTAATCAACACATCTCCCTATCAATAGGAATCGAATGTTTTTTAAATTATTCAAATCGGTTGATCCGTGCGCCCGAAAACGTGGGCGAAAAAATACGGACACAAAACACACACGCATCCATTTTTTTGAGTTATGCCAAAATATTCAGAAACCTCTGAAACGTGAAGATATGCGAAATTTTCATTTTTCCTACTGGAAGTTATTAAAACCTTGTAAAGATTCAGTTAAAACCTAATAAGGATACTACTAATATTTTAATAAATCTAAAAATTCGGTCAGAAAATCTGTCATAAATCTTATAAGAATCTAGTAGCAATTTAAAAGAATCTTATCTGAATCTTTTACCTAGTACGGACCTAACAAGTTAAAATTTAGGGCTGAATGTGTTCTTTAGTTACAAATTATGAAAAAAATAGAATAAAAAAATTGATCAAAAAATGAAAAAATAGTTGTGCCTTAAGACAAATTGCTAGAACTTCTCTCGTACCAAAAAGTATTTTTTTCAAAAAAGATTGATTTTTTATAATCTTTGAAAAATTTTGAATTTTGAGAAATTTTAAATTTTTGAAAAAAAAATTGACTTTTTTAGAAAAAAAAACTTTCGGTTATATATGTTTTGTTTATTTTGAATATTTTGGAAATTTTGAACTTTTTTTCAAAGCAATCGCACAGTAATTATAGATAATTTGATGTGCTTATGAAAAATAATCATTTTTGTCAGTTAAATGGCAATTTTCAATTTTTTTGTATTGGATCTCCAAAATCGCTAGACCTGCATTCCCAAAAATTTATTCAGTTCTTCATCTTGTCAATACAAGTACAATGTTATATGAATTATATGAAATCGGAAGCTCCCCTCTCTTAAAAACTGAGTTGCCGTTTTTGGCACTTTTTGCCCCGTATCTTCAAAACGGTTGGACCTGCCTTTAGCAACAACTAATCAGCACGTTTCCTTATCAAAAGAAATCAAATCGTTTTTTGAAACATTCTAATCGGTTGAACCGTGTTCCCGAAATCGTCGACGAAAATTTGTATCCGCACACACACACACGCACACACACAAAATGTTCAGAAACCTCTGAAACGTAAAGACATGTAAAAATTTCATTTTTGATTTTTTGCGGTTACTATAACTCACGCTTAATAATTTTTAATTATGAAGTTAATTATAATTTTTAACATTTGAATTTAACTAAACTGTGTATATATCATTTCGCAATTGGTCAAATAAGATTTATATTTTCAACTGATATCACTACTGCTTGATATAAGGTTGTCTGAAGCTTAAATAGAACCTCAACTGTTATAGCCAAAGGTCAAAGTCTTTTATCATTAACAAAAATCATTTATCTCGAAACTTTATCTCTACTTACGTTGTGACTTGCCAATAGGCAGAACATTATCACTGTTAAATGTTATTTGTTGTCATTCTTTATTTGTTTGTATATTCAGGCAAATATCAAATTCGATTATTATCAATATGCAAATAATAATTTGAGTTCGAAATCATTCAAAACATTTGAGTCACATCTCACAATTCGTCATTTGTGAGATAATGGAGAATGCAAACGTATCATACAAATTGTTTAATTATTTGAATAATACGATAATGCATAATGGATATATATTTATATTTTATATATATATACTAGCAAACCCGACAAACTCCGTTTCGCCACCAGATGGTTTCGTGAGAAAGATGAAGAAATTTTTTTGTTTGTTTTATATTTGAAAGGAAAAATTGATCAGGAAAGAAAACCGGCTTATTTTTATTTAAAATAGCAATTATTTAAAACAATTATTGATTATTTTTAATACTCGAATTTTTTATTACGGTGCGTGAAGTTCCAGCAATTTGCATTAGGGCACGATGCCATGCACCTCTAATTTTCTTAGCTATGAACCTTGCGGATGAATGCAAAATTGTCGAAAAATCGGTTCGTGCGTTCTGGAGTTATTTTGTCAGGAAGGAAAACCCGACTTATTTTTATATATATAGAAGATAATCTATTTGAAATTATTTAAACAGTATTGATATTTTTATTACTCGAATTTTTAATACTGTGCATGAAGTTCCAGCAATTGCATTAGGGCACGATGCCATGCTAAAACCTTGCGGAGCCCGAGACCTTCCAACGAATGCAAAACTGTCGAAATCGGTTCGTGCGTTGGAGTTATTTCGTCAGGAAGGAAAACCCCGACTTATTTTTATATATATAGAAGATAATCTATTTTGAAACGATTTTAAAACAGTTATTGATTATTTTTATTACTCGAATTTTAATTACTGTGCTGAAGTTCCAGCAATTTGCATTAGGGCTAGATGCCATGCACCACTAATTTTCTTAGCTATAAACCTTGCGGAGCCCAAGACCTTCCAATGAATTAAAAATTGTCGAAATCGGTTCGTGCGTTCTGGAGTTATTTCGTCAGGAGGAAAACCCGACTTATTTTTATCTTTAGAGATATATATAATATATAATTATATATATATATATATTTGAATAATTAAAAAAACATTCGATTCCTATTGATAAGGAGGATGTGCTGATTAGTTTTTGGCAATGGCAGGTCCAGCCCGTTTCGAAGATCCAATAAATAAGGGGAAAAATGTCATTGTGG